CACTCCACTGCTGACAGTGCAGCTAATGGTGACATCTGATGAGCACACACTGCCTTCACTTTATTTGTTTTCACTGTTACAAATAAACATGTCTGTCTGTCTGTCTGTCTGCTTAGCTCTCTGTCTATCTGTCTGTCTGTTTGTGTGTCTGTCTATGTGTGTCTTGTTTTTCTGTCTGCTTGTCTCATTTGACTCAGAGAGTTGCTCATGAACCAACTGGTATTACACACGATCATGTCTGCTTCCTGAACCAGTGATAATGTGTATTACTTGACAGTGGCCAATCATGTAAATTATGCATTATATAGACAAGCACAGTATAGAACTTTGTCTGGATTTTTTTAGGTTATCCTAGGTAATTTACACTATGTATAATTGTATTTATGTATGTGTTTCTGTGAGATAGAGACAGATAGAGACAGAGATAGAGAAAGATATACAGAGATAGAGACAGAGAGACAGACGGAGATAGAGACAGTCAATCAGCCAGCCTGCCAAACATGTATTACATGTTCCAGAATTGTTTCTTTTTACTTAGGGCACATGTTATAGGGCATTCTGGCAGGATGACACTACCAGTGATACCAAAATTGAAAGGGTGTTGCACAAATGTTGCACATGGGTTATTATCGAGGTTTTTGATATTTAAGCGACCACTTGTGGCCACATCCACCTCAAAGCCACTGAACTCAGGGTCAACATCACTTTCCTCTTAAAAGGGGAGTATTAATATGACATTACCTGGAGTTTACCTGGAGAGAGTTCCGGGGGTCAATGCCCCTGGTGGATCAGAGCCTGATCAACCAGGCTGTTACTGCTGGCTGCACGCAATCCAACGTACGAGCCACAGCCCGGCTGGTCAGGTACCGACTTTAGGTGTTTGTCCAGTGCCTGCTTGAAGACAGCCAGGGGTCTATTGGTAACCCCCCTTATGTATGCTGGGAGGCAGTTGAACAGTTTCGGGCCCATGACACTTATTGTATTGTCTCTTAACGTGCTAGTGACACCCCTGCTTTTCATTGGGGGGATGTTGCATCGTCTGCTGAGTCTTTTGCTTTCGTTGTGAGTGATTTTCGTGTGCAAGTTCGGTACTAGTCCCTCTAGGATTTTCCAGGTGTATATAATCATGTATCTCTCCCGCCTGCGTTCCAGGGAGTACAGGTTCAGGAAATTCAAGCGCTCCCAGTAATTGAGGTGTTTTATTTCCGTTATGCGTGCCGTGAAGGTTCTCTGTGCATTTTCTAGGTCAGCAATTTCACCTGCCTTGACAGGTGCTGTTAGTGTGCAGCAATATTCCAGCCTAGATAGAACAAGCGACCTGAAGAGTGTCATCATGGGTTTGGCATCCCTAGTTTTGAAGGTTCTCATTATCCATCCTGTCATTTTTCTAGCAGATGCGATTGATACAATGTTATGGTCCTTGAAGGTGAGATTCTCCGAAATGATCACTCCCAGGTCTTTGACGTTGATTTTTTGCTCTATTTTGTGGAAGGAATTTGTTTTGTACTCTGATGAAGTTTTAATTTCATCATGTTTACCATATCGGAGTAATTGAAATTTCTCATCATTGAACTTCATATTGTTTTCTGCAGCCCACTGAAAGATTTGGTTGATGTCCGCATGGAGCCTTCCAGTGTCTGCAATGGAAGACACTGCCATGCAGATTCGGGTGTCATCTGCAAAGGAAGACACGGTGCTGTGGCTGACATCCTTGTCTATGTCAGATATGAGGATGAGAAACAAGATGGGAGTGAGTACTGTGCCTTGTGGAACAGAGCTTTTCACCGTAGCCACCTCAGACTTTACTCTGTTGACTACTACTCTTTGTGTTCTGTTTGTGAGGAAATTATAGATCCATCTACCAACTTTTCCTGTTATTCCTTTAGCACGCATTTTATGCGCTATTACACCATGGTCACACTTGTCGAAGGCTTTTGCAAAGTCTGTATATATTACATCTGCATTCTTTTTGTCTTCTAGTGCATCTAGGACCTTGTTGTAGTGATCCAGTAGCTGAGACAGACAGGAGCGACCTGCTCTAAAGCCATGTTGCCCTGGGTTGTGTAACTGATGGGTATCTAGATGGGTGGCAATCTTGCTTCTTAGGACCCTTTCAAAGATTTTTATGATATGGGATGTTAGTGCTATCAGTCTGTAGTTCTTTGCTATTGCTTTACTGCCCCCTTTGTGGAGTGGGGCTATGTCTGTTGTTTTTAGTAACTGTGGGACGACCCCAGTGTCCATGCTCCCTCTCCATAGAATGGTAAAAGCACATGATAGGGGCTTCTTGCAGTTCATGATGAACATGGAGTTCCATGAGTCTGGCCCTGGGGCAGAGTGCATGGGCATGTCATTTATCATCTGTTCGAAGTCATTTGGTGTCAGGATAATATCAGATAGGCTTGTGTTAACCAAATTCTGTGCCTCTCTCATAAAAAATTCATTTTGATCTTCGACTCTCAGTCTGGTTAGCGGCTTGCTAAAAACTGATTCATATTGGGACTTGAGTAGTTCACTCATTTCCTTGCTGTCATCTGTGTAGGACCCATCTTGTTTAAGTAGGGGCCCAATACTGGATGTTGTTCTCGACTTTGATTTGGCATAGGAGAAGAAATACTTTGGGTTTCTTTCGATTTCATTTATGGCTTTTAGTTCTTCCCACGATTCCTGACTCCTATAAGATTCCTTTAGCTTAAGTTCGATGTTTGCTATTTCTCTGACCAGTGACTCCCTACGCATTTCTGATATATTGGCCTCTTTTAGCCGCTCTGTTATTGTTTTCCGTCGCCTGTAAAGGGAGCACCTGTCTCTTTCTATTTTACATCTACTCCTCCTTTTTCTTAAAGGAATAAGCCTTGAGCATACATCGAGTGCCACTGAGTTAATCTGTTCTAGGCATAAGTTGGGGTCAGTGTTGCTTAGTCTATCTTCCCAGCTTATATCGTTTAGGACTTGATTTACTTGGTCCCACTTTATGTTCTTGTTATTGAAGCTGAGTTTGGTGAAGGCTCCCTCGTGACTAATCTCATTTTGTCGGTCTGGGGCTCCGCACATACATGTCTGAACCTCGATTATGTTGTGATCTGAGTATATTGTTTTTGATATGGTGACGTTTCGTATCAGATCATCATTGTTAGTGAAGATGAGGTCTAGTGTATTCTCCAGTCTAGTAGGCTCTATTATTTGCTGGTTTAAGTTGAATTTTGTGCAGAGATTTAAAAGCTCGTGTGTGTGTGAGTTCTCATCAGAGCTGCCTCCTGGTGTTATCACTGCAACAACATTATTTGCTATATTCCTCCATTTTAGGTGCCTCAAGTTGAAATCCCCCAGGAGCAAGATGTTTAGGGCAGGAGCTGGCAGATTTTCCAGACAGTGGTCAATTTTTGACAGCTGTTCCTAGAATTGCTGGGACATTGCATCTGGAGGCTTGTAGACTACCACAATGACTAGGTTTTGGTTCTCAATCTTTACTGCTAAAACTTCCACTACATCATTTGAGGCATTAAGCAGTTCTGTGCAAACAAGTGACTCTGCAATATACAGGCCAACCCTCTCCTTTTGCCTGTTCACTCTGTCACATCCGTATAGGTTGTAACCTGGGATTCATATTTCGTTGTCCAAGTGATCCTTTATGTGGGTCTCAGTGAAAGCCGCAAATATTGCATTTGCCTCTGCAAGCAGTCCACGGATGAAAGGTATTTTGTTGTTCGTCGCTGGCTTTAGACCCCTGTACATTTGCAAAGAAGAATGTCATCGGCCTGGTGGTATTGGTGGTACTGGGGGGCACTTTTTTTCCGGCACTAGTATCTGTATCTGTTGGTTTGGAGTGGAGGCCATCGACTGTGGTTCCACTCCAGAAATGACTGGATTTGGCGTACGATTTCTGCCATTTCCTGCCAGTTTTTTTTCCTTCCTGGCACTAAAAAACCTCTCCCTTTTGAGTGGCTGTGGCTACCCAGGTTTTCCCATGGCCTGGATGTTTTGTATCTTTTTGTCCCCTTTAGATGGTGTGCCTGGCAATTTAAGTTATAGCACAGTCTTTCCTGTACTGAAGAGGGACACATTTCACTGTGAAAAAGCTTACAGGAAGTGAGTTTGCATTTTCCTGTTGTCATATGGGCACGGCATTTTCTAGCGTGGTCATAGTTGCACGTCCCATCTGTTTTTCCAGATTTCCCATGCCTGCAGATACCAAGTGCACAGTATGTGCACAGGCTTGGTTTCCATTTGCCTTGGGTTTCTGTGACTGTATTCCTTGTTGGTGCATGTTTACCTGTCTCATTCCTATCCTCACTAGTACTAACAATGGAGCTCTCACCGGTTGTTTCTGGTAATATATCCTCACTATTGCTAGTGGAGTCCCCTTGTTTGCTATCTCCTGTGGTACTACTAGTTTGTAATATTGGTTTTATCTTGTCCTTGACTGCACTTGTTTCCCCACTACAGTTCCTGTCTCCCTCGCGGTCATTTATATGCATTCCCTCATGCTTATATTTATTGACTACCTGACATCAGTGAATCCTTGGCGTTTGCTGTGCTGTTTGCTCTAGCTGGTACTCAATTTAACTGGTGCTCCCACAAGCTACTAAGTGGTCCCAGATTTTTTTTAATACTGTGTACACTAATGGTTAAGACCCATTCTATGCTGACCTGGTATCTCAGGCCAATTGTGCCAAATTTGGAGGCAGGAAAAATAAAACGTAGATCTACTTTGGAGCGCTAGAGGTAAGAACGTAGATATACGTTTGGACAGTTAAGGGGTTAAACAGTATGCAAAATGTAATAATGTTGGTAGAATTACCAACAATATGTAAAGTAAAAGGACACAAGTGCAACTAATGTGACATTTTATTGTGGCACTATTTTGCTCTCCAGGAGCTTTGTCAAGCCATAAAGGCTTGACAAAGCTCCTGGAGAGCAAAACGTTGCCACAATAAAATGTCATATTAGTTGCCCTTGTGTCCTTTTACTTTACAGTATGCAAAATGCTGATTACATACCTGAAGTACGGTGAATACGGCACCAAATATTACAACATTAACAAGACAAATAACAGCAACAAGTGAGGTGACAGACGAGAAGTATGAGTCTTGATGAGGAGCATGATGAGAGCCTGAGTCCAAACTGAGAGCTATTCTACGTTTATCTGCCGATACAGCACCATAACACTGACCTAAAAGAGTAATATATTTTTAATTTTAAGATTATGATTATGTAAAATGATACACATTAAAAAATTAAACTAGTGTGTATAAGTACAAGATTGCATAACACTGGTTACAAATGAATACATACAAAAACATGTACAGTAAATGTGCCCTCTGCAAAATATAAGTACTGGACATATTAAGATTTTTCCATCAAGTCAAGAATCAGGAATCCTATTGAACTTTATATAATTGTAAAAAAAATGAAAATACAGTGGACCCCCGCATAACGATTACCTCCGAATGCGACCAATTATGTAAGTGTAATTATGTAAGTGCATTTGTACGTGTATGTTTGGGGGTCTGAAATGGACTAATCTACTTCACAATATTCCTTATGGGAACAAATTCGGTCAGTATGGCACCTGAACATACTTCTGGAGTGAAAAAATATCGTTAACCGGAGGTCCACTGTATATAATCAGTCAATGGCTGCAATCACTAGCATTTATTATCTATCTATGAACAACATAACATGATGTAATCTATAATTTTTTAACAAGGAGGACCAGTGAACCAGTAGAATGCCTAGATCAAAAAGAGCTGCAGTTAGTGGGTTATCATGAGACTAAGACCTGTTTCATGAAGCACTTCTGTTCCCTGACAAGTAAAATACTACTGCCACCATTATCTCATTAGAATTTTTTTCATATTAAAGATAATATGCATAAGGAGTATTGTACTGTAATTAATGAATGATAGCTACAAAAATAATGTAGTTTTAAGAGTAGGTACAATAGGGCTTGTGAGGCTAGGAGGGAGTGAATCTGGCTGGTGGCAAGATGAAGGGTGGGGGGCCAAGAGCTAGGATTTGACTTCTACAACCACATATAGGTGATTACATATAGATCAGTATACACCTGGAACCAATATAGGAAATGGGCTAATCAAAAAACTTATCAGATATTCCAGATGGCCAAAGAGTATTATACAAATGAAATATTTGTGGAAGAAGAAATGCTGAAAAAAGAAATAGTAGATAAGAGCAAGGTGGAAAAAAGCAAATCAAATGTTAAAGGCAAGCTACAAAATTAAAAGATAAAAACAAATTTACTGATGTTGAGAGGAAATGTGAGGTATTAAATAGAAAGTTTCAGAATCTATTTAGAAAAGAAGATATGTTAAATATTAAGGATTTGAATCCTAAATCAAAAGTTGCAATTGAGGATACTGAAGTAACTAAAGAGGAAGTAAAAATATTACTTCTGGATGCTGTTAAGAAAAAAAGCAATAAAACTAATGGGATATCACCATGGGTTGGAAAATTTTTAGGCATTCACTCCGAAAGAGTATACTGGCAGACAGGTGGAAAATGGCATACATTGTGGCAATATTTAACCCATAAACGGTCCAAGCAGATCTACATTCACATGTGTAGTGCTCCAAGAGTAGATCTATGTTTTTTTTTACATATTTTCAAATATAACCAAAAAAAAAAAAAGTAAATCAAAGTTTTTATACACATTTTCAAATGTAAAAAAAAAAAAGATCTACTTTTTTTTACATACTTTCAAATGTTGAAAAAACGTATATATACGTTTGGACCGTTTATGGGTTAAAAGGAGGACAGAGAACACCATTTAAACTAGAGACCAATTTTGCTTATGCTCATGCTTTGAAAAAAAATTAATGAAAGTGAATAAAATGTACTTGGAAAGCTGTATACCTGCATATCCTTCCCCATTTCCATCACTGTAACTTTCCCTTTCCCTCCCATTCCCCAGGTGCTGCTAAGACCCCTATTTATTACACACCAGTAGTAGGATCACAGGAACAACAAGGGGTCTCGTGTTCTCCTTCTGTCACACCAGGAGGACAACATGTTCGGCAGGTACTAGTGGCAGGATGAAGAGACATGGGTGTCTGGCATGATGTACAACCATTATCTCCACCAGATGAGCAAGTAAGGCAAGACTTATTGCATGGTTCACATGCTTGAGAACTGAGGTTGTAATAACTGCCCGACTGGCATTCAATGCACATTCCACCATCAAGTGTAAGATAGTCATGACAGGAGGTGCAGTCATTCAGACCTGATCCTGAAAGATGAGAGAAGCAGAGTTAGGTTTATATTGCAATGTTCCATCTTCTTTAAATACTGGACAGCAAGACTTGCCAATAAATGTGGAAAAAAGACTACATCTTCTCATCTACATCATCATAAGTTTTTCTCTCCTATGTGTGGGTTATTTGTGTAAAGTGAGTGCTAGGGTGTTGAGGTGAGGGACTGAAAGGCCAAACTTGATACAGAGTGGGATTTGTCACAGTTGCTCTTTTACTGATGACATGGTTCGTTTGGGAGTTTGAAGAGAAGTTGCAAAAGTTGATGGATGACTTTGAGAAGGTATATAAAGAAGGAAAATAAAAGCAAAGTGATGAGAATAACATAAAATCTAGGCAGTGATAGAATGTTGTGTGAGATGAGGTAAGAACAGATCTGTCTTTGAATTAATTTTTCAAAGATTTTAGAGAGCAGAGGTAAGTTAGATATTGGTCTATAATATTCAAGTCTGCTTGATCACCTCCTTTGTGGATCAGGGTAACCCTCGCTATTTTGAGAACTGCTGGGAAGGTGGAGGATTCGATGGATTTGTTAAAGAGTGTTGCAATAATTGGTGACAGTACTTGTGAAGCTTTTTTGTACATAAAAGGTGGTAAGTTATTTATGTCTCCTGCCTTGTTTTTAAAGGTGGTGATGATAAGCAAGACTTCTGTTGGGTTGGTTGGGGCTAGGAATAGTCTATTTGGGTAGGTGCCCATGAGGGATTTTGCTTACTAGATTCTTTCCTATGGTGGAGAAGAAAACATATTACCTTTTATGTTATATAATCTGTTCTCGCAATAAAATTTTTCTGACCTTCTTATCAGGTTGGTAAGGATTGACGAGCAACGTTTAGAATGGTCTCTAATTATCTGACCCATTCTGTACTGTTTTTCATATAGGTGCTTTGTGTTAATGGATTTAAGGATGCTGGGTGTTAGCCAGGGACTGTTCAGTCTCTCAGCTGTGATCTGTTTAGTTTTTTAGGGCAATGCTTGTTACAGAGGTAGTGGTTTTTTTTTAGAAAATTATTAATACATTCATTCGTATCTGTATATGTTTCAAGCTCATTATGCCAGTCGTCGTTATTCATAGCTGTTATAAAGTTATTAACAGCTGTCTCGTTATGTAGTCTGAAGGTAACTTTAGTAGTGTCTTGGGGCAATTTACCTAGGTTGGTTATGAGAAAGGTAGTGTAGTGGTCTGTGGTGTTGTCTGTGATTATGCCTGATTTTAAAGGGGATATGGTGTTAGTCCAGATGTGGACTAACATCAGAGATTCTTGTTGGTAGCAACAAGCAGTTGCTCATAGTGTTTGTGAATTCGGTTACCTGTTAGTCCTGGTCATGTAGTAGATTTATGTTGAAATCTGTGAGCAGCAAGTGGTCTTTGTTCATATGTGCATCAGTTATGTTTCCTAATTTTTCACTAAAATGATAAATGTTTGTGGTACTCTGTAGATGTTTATCACTGTGAGGAGTTTTTGCAGGTCTTTTGATTTAAATTTAGCTATAATACATTCCCCATGTTCATCCCTTGTGCAAGAATTATAACTGTATCAATAGGCTGTTGTTGGGCTTCATCTGGTCTAGTTAGGACAATATCCCTATTTTTTTTTTTTTAGCTTGTGGGTGCCTAGAATATGAGAGAGTGTCTTCCAGGTTTTTTATATCTCCTCTTGTTTTGGTGAATCTACTGGAGTAGGACAATTGCTTAGCCTTTCTTATTAGGTTGGTGAGAACTGATGTGTATTGTTTAACAGTGACTTTGTTTATTAAGCCCTGCCTATATTGTTTTTCATGCTGATGTTTCTTATCAATGGATCTTAGTATGCTGTTGGTTAGCCATGGGCAACCTAGCCATTTATTCATAATCTGTTTTATTTTTATGGGACAGAGAGCTAGATACAGACATGTTTATATGTAACAGTGAAAACAAATAAAGCCAAGGCAGTGCACGCTCATCAAATGTCACCAATGCTGCACTGTCAGCAGTGGTGACACTCATCTTACACCATGCTTCAAGGAAACATTATTATTATTATTATTATTATTATTACATACTCCAGAATGTCCAAAACACTGCTGGGACCTATAAATACTATGTACAGAGATTAAAACAAAACAAGGTGTTCGACATAGATGGTGATGGTGCAGGGACAGGTAGGTGGTGGTGAAGGTGAGGGTGGTAGGTATTGGTGGTGGTGGGGTAGGAAGGGGTGGTGGGGTAGGTGTATATATTTCTGGACAATAGTATGTGACTAAGGTAGATGAAAATGTTCACCTGTCACTGTGTTTGTAACTATTTGAGTACCTAATATTTGTGTTAGCGCAAAGATTAGCTATGAAATCACAAGAACTACTACAAATTGTGATTATCAGAATATAAAAAATATACAGATTTAAAACGAGATAAAAGGTATATCGGCAACACTTCTGATGCAGCAACCTTCTTGTTGCTGTCAGGTGAGTGACAAGTGCTGACTTTGCAGCCTTATATCTCTGTAAGTACTGACTTTAATTTGTTTTTCATTACTTTGTCAAAAAATGTCCTCTTTATAATAATAATCACAGGTAGTAGGCTGGTAGACAGCAACCACATAGGGAGGTACTACCATCCTTCCAAGTGAGTGTAAAATGAAAGCCTGTAACCGTTTTACATGATGGTAGGATTGCTGGTGTCTTTCGTCTCTCATAAATATGCAAGATTACAGGTACATCTTGCTACTTCTTACACTTAGGTCTCACTACACATACATGTACAAGCATATATATACACACCCCTCTGGGTTTTCTTCTATTTTCTTTCTAGTTCTTATTCTTGTTTATTTCCCCTTATCTCCATGGGGAAGTGGAACAGAATTCTTCCTCCGTAAGCCATGCGTGTTGTAAGAGGTGACTAAAATGCCGAGAGCAAGGGACTAGTAACCCCTTCTCCTGTACAAATTACTAAATTTAAAGAGAAAAGCTTTCGTTTTTCTTTTTGGGCCACCCTGCCTTGGTGGGATATGGCTGGTTTGTTAAAAAAAAAAAAAAATAATAATAATATTTATTTTGACATGATACATAGTTATACAAAGGATTATTGTAGTTGAGGGTACATGCCAAAAGTCCCTTGTATGCAGAGCATATCAGACAAGCTTAAAATTAACTTAAGATTAATTAGGCTATAACAGATTAAATGGTAAAAATTACAGTAAACAATTTACGATATGAAGCACAATTGAGTACAGTGGACCTTGGTTATCAGCTGTAATTCATTCCAGAAGGTCGGCCTAAAACTGAAATAATATTTCTCACAAGAATTAATGTAAATACAATTAATCCATTCCAGACACCCAAAAATATTAAAAAAATACATTTTTTTAAATTAATTAGAGTTTTACATACACAAAACAATGAGAACTAAATAAAATAAATACATGAACAATTAAATCACTATTACATACCTTTAATGAAGACTCTTTTTGGCTTATGGAAGATAGGGAGGAGGAGGAGGAGAGAGGAGATGGGATTATTGTTTGCAAGGGAAATCCTCCTTCATAAGGGCTTCAGGCAACAAGTCCCTCTCTGGTGTTATTTCCCTTCTTTGTCTTTTAATGCCACTAGGACTAGCTTGAGAGTCACTGGACCTCTGTTGCACAAAATAGCTGTCCAGAGTGCTCTGTTTCTGGCATCTCTGTAAGATTTCCCTGAATTGGGACAAGGTTTAGTCACTGAACATATTGCATATATGGCTTCTTTCATGACTCACGAAATCGTAATGACACGATTGCAAACAAACCATACCCCGGCCGGGATTGAACCCGCGGTCAGAGAGTCTCAAAACTCCAGACCGTCGTGTTAGCCACTAGACCAGCTAGCCACAATAAGATTCGTCCAACTAGGTATATTTCTACACCATAGGAAGGTTAGCACAGGCACCACTGTGACCACAAATGCAAGTTTTTACAGACGAATCTCCAGCTAGCGTGGCCGTGACGAACTCTAGCTCAAGTCCCCTCACTGCCGTCAACATGACTCACGAAATCGTAATGACACGATTGCAAACAAACCATACCCCGGCTGGGATTGAACCCGCGGTCAGAGAGTCTCAAAACTCCAGACCGTCGCGTTAGCCACTAGACCAGCTAGCCACAATAAGATTCGTCCAACTAGGTATATTTCTACACCATAGGAAGGTTATCACAGGCACCACTGTGACCACAAATGCAAGTTTTTACAGACGAATCTCCAGCTAGCGTGGCCGTGACGAACTCTAGCTCAAGTCCCCTCACTGCCGTCAACATGACTCACGAAATCGTAATGACACGATTGCAAACAAACCATACCCCGGCCGGGATTGAACCTAGTTGGACGAATCTTATTGTGGCTAGCTGGTCTAGTGGCTAACGTGACGGTCTGGAGTTTTGAGACTCTCTGACCGCGGGTTCAATCCCGGCCAGGGTATGGTTTGTTTGCAATCGTGTCATTACAATTTCGTGAGTCATGTTGACGGCAGTGAGGGGACTTGAGCTAGAGTTCGTCACGGCCACGCTAGCTGGAGATTCGTCTGTAAAAACTTGCATTTGTGGTCACAGTGGTGCCTGTGCTAACCTTCCTATGGTGTAGAAATATACCTAGTTGGACGAATCTTATTGTGGCTAGCTGGTCTAGTGGCTAACAAGACGGTCTGGAGTTTTGAGACTCTCTGACCGCGGGTTCAATCCCAGCCGGGGTATGGTTTGGCTTCTTTCAGTTTGGTCACTGTGATACTTTTCAACAAAACTTTGCAACTCATTCCACTTTGCAAACATGTCCTTAAAATCACTGAAAAAGGCCCCTTTTCTCCTCCCCTCTTTCCCCTATGTGAAGGAATTTCCTCGCTGCAGTTGTTCTGTTCTTTTTGAAGGTCTTGCAGCCTTTTCAGTGGTTAGCTTTTCCCCCTGTGGTCTCCCCCAAACTTTCCACATCCTCCCCACTCACATAACCCCCATGGACTTTCCAGTGCACTTTAGAC